TAATGTTGACGTTAGACGTGGAGTGTTGGGCAAAGAGGGAAAATCAATTGACGAGGCTATAAAGTTACATAGACTGAGACGGCTAGGTCACGTGCTGCGCATGCCTAACCATCGCCTCCCCCGACGGGCATTACTAGCTGATATAGGTGGTGCAAGTTGGAAAAGGGTAAGTGGTGGCCAAACAAAAACATGGCCTCGTCAATCCATGAAATCCTTGACAGTTAAACTGAGTCGGTCAGGTAGGGAGATGCAGACTTCCGGGTTGGGGGCCTCGGGACTCTAGGAATCAATGGCTGGAGACAATAGGTGACATGGCTCAAAATCGTTGTCAATGGCCAGCGAAGATGTATTCAGTCTCTGTAATCTTTCATATTCCTTTCTACCATTACCCATTCTGTTTCACTCTTATACTTGTCAAACTCTATTGATTCTCTTCACTAATCTTCTTGTCTACTTCTGTGTGCTATTTGGAAGGTGGCAACTGGAACTGGTGCACTTCGGTGCCAAGTTCTATGTTGAATCCAGACAGACAGAGACAGATGTCCAAGGTTATGGCATTATTATTGAAATGCACTATAAGTGTCCAATATATGTTCAACAATGATTTTTATCGACGGGTTGGTGTTGTTGCGATGGACTCACCTTTGGACCCTATGTTAGAGAATATATTCACTATGGATAAGATTTTATTTTGATAAATCACACAGTGTTGTTATACAGTAATATTAACTGATGACATTTTGAGTACAAACTATTGCTCATAATCATATCAAGTTACTCATACAACCTTTTTTCCTTCATTTATATACATGTGTGGAATTGACTACATATATATATATATATATTAATATATATATATATGGGCGAAATCTGAAAGAAGCAACCTCCTTTACCTACCTACCCACCTACTTATCTACCTGGGAAGCATCATTTCAACTACAGCTGGACGGAACTCACGACGAATATCAATTCACGGACCGAGAAAGCAAGGCAAGCTTTCATTTCCCTCAAGTCGTCCGTGTGGAGATCAACAGCACTCAGCATGGGAAATAAGATCCGGATTTTCAACTCCAATGTGAAGTCAATGCCACTTACTATGCGGATTAGACACTTGGAGCATCATGAAGAGCACTTCGAGCGAACTACAAACCTTCCTCAATAGCTGTCTTCACGCAATACTACTCAAGATGAGATGACTGGCCAGAAAAGGTCATCAACAGGGATCTCTGGGGGATGAACGAACCAACCCAGCAGGAACTAACTGTGCAACAAATATGCAAGAAGAAGTAGAGGTGGATGGACCATACTCTGAGAAAACTATCAAGAGATATCACACACCGGGTCTTCGCTCGAGTAGAGCCCGGATGTGAAGCGGCGAGTTGGTCGTCAGTACTTGATTGACATGGAGGAGGTAATGTGAGGAGGAGATGAAAGCATGTGGGCGGCAGACGTGGAGCGAGGTGATGAAAACGTTGCCGGAGAACAGAACGCAATGAAGACGTGTGTGTTCCTCTAGGAATTAAAGGAAACAATTATATATATATATATCTGTCTGTCTGTCTGGATTCAACATAGAACTTGGCACCGAAGTGCAGCAGTTCGAGTTGCCACGTTCCAAATAGCACACAGAGGTAGACAAGAAGATGAGTGAAGAGAATCAATAGAGTTTGACAAATATAAGAGTGAAACAGAATGGGTAATGGTAGAAAGGAATATGAAAGATTACAGAGACTGAATACATCTGCGCCATTGACAACGATTTTGAGCCATGTCACCTATTGTCTCCAGCCATTGATTCCTAGAGTCCCGAGGGCCCCAACCCGGGAGTCTGCATCTCCCTACCTGACTCAGTTTAACTGTCAAGGATTTCATGGATTGATGCCATGTTTTTGTTTGGCCACCACTGGCTCTTTTCCAACCTGAACCTATATCAGCTAACAATGCCCGTCGGGGGAGGCGGTGGTTAGGCATGCGCACCACGTGACCTAGCCATCTTAGTCTATGTAACTTTATAACCTCGTCGATTGATTTTCCCTCTTTGCCCAACACTCTACGCCTAACGTCAACATTACTTATCTTGTGAAACCACCTAACGTGAGACAGAGATCGCAGACATCTATGATCGAAAGCAGTCAACCTTTTCATGTCTTCAACGCGTATTGGCCATGTTTCAGAGCCATAGAGAAGGACGGAGCGAACTGATGAGCAGTACACACGTCCCTTGGTTGATAACCGGATGTCACGCCTACGCCAGAGATGGTGTAAGTCAGCGAAAGCAGCTCGAGCTTTTCGGATCCGTGCTGAGATTTCATCGCCAATCAGTCCGTTGGTGCTAATACAACTTCCCAAGTAGGTGAAGTGGTCAACATGTTCTATCACTTCACTCCCTATCACTAAGTTAGGGGTTGACGTCGTCCAGTCCTGTAGCAGCATCTTACATTTTGCAGGGGCGAATCGCATGCCAAACATACGAAGATTGCTGCTCAAGGTGTTCAGAAGACTCTGCATTTTGTCAGCATCCTCCCCTAACAGGACTATGTCATCTGCATATTCTAAGTCCATTAGATTATTCCCTGGTAACAAGTCGATTCCTAAGTCACTACGTTCAGTTAAGGATACTTCCATTAGCATATCTATGATGAAGTTAAACAGAAATGGGGAAAGTGGACATCCCTGTCGGACACCACTGGTTGTTACTAATTCAGATGACAATTCCCCATAAGCCCTTACACGACTACGTGAGTTTGAATAGAGTGCCTTGATTAGTGCAATGTACTTTCTTGGCACTCCCTTCACAGTCAGACATTGCCATAGTACTTTTCGGTCCACGGAGTCGAAGGCCGCCTTCAAGTCAAGAAATATGACAATTGTTGGACGCCGAAAAGTGTGTCTATGTTCTAGAATCTGTCGAAGAGTGAAGATATGATCTATGCACCCTCTACCTGGTCTAAAGCCTGCTTGATTTTCCCTTGTCTGTTCCTCCCGAGTTCTGCTTAGTCTATGCATGATTACTGAGCCTAGGATTTTAGAGACTATGTTCGTTAGGCTGATCCCCCTATGATTATCACACGAGGACTTGTTTCCCTTCTTGAATATCGGTATAATGAGTGACTTACCCCAGTCTGATGGTACTGTCTCTGATTCCCAGACTTTGCCTAGTACCTCAGTTAATCTACAAACTAGTATGTCACCCCCATATTTAAACACCTCCGGAATAATTCCGTCGGGTCCTGCCGCTTTGCCTCGTTTCAAATTACTGATAGCTTTTGTAACCTCACCTACAGACGGCGGACCAGTGTCTATATCCCATTCGGGTACGTGGTGGATGGCGGGGAGGTTCAGTGTGGCTGTATAATATATATATATATATATATATATATATAAATCTCTCTTGAGTGAAGCATACTCTCTTCTACTCAATTGTGTGCGTTGGTGGCACAGTGGTTAGAACTCTCGCCGACCATGCACATGGTCCGAGGTTCGAGCCCATGCCGACGCATACCTGATATCTATGGTCGCCCTGCGAATTTTGGGCTACCGATATCCACGCTGAAAATTCCATATATGTACCAAAAAATACAGTGTGGAATCAAGATGTAACCAAAAATCAAAAATAAAATAAATTGGACGTCAAGGAAATGTAGTCTACCATCATGTTCTTCTTCACAGGTGAAGCATGAGCGATGGATGTGCTGCATCATTAAATTTTATTAACATTTCATTCTTGTCAGCTTTCATATCTATGAGAGAAACTTATGGTGAATTTTGATGAAACATATATAGAAAATCTAAACAAGTGGTAATTCAGCGAAGAGACTCTTTTCAACAACGAATTTATCATCAATCTATACAATCGTATGTATATGTGGTTTTTAAGTAGTTATATCCGGTGTGGGAATTGAATCTTATGTGTGAATGCATAAAAATAATATTAATAGTATGAAATGCAATTAAAACTAAAATGTTTGTGATTATAATCATAGTTAAATGTCAAGTGGCAAAGCAAATTAATGTCATATACATAGAATATTTCATAGGATGGATAGAACTTGAAAAAGGGTGTGCAATTATAGGATTAGTAGACAAATCAAATAAAACAAAAACGTTACGTAATATTGTCTGAAATTTAATTGCATAGAATTTAACGTTGCAAAACAAAATTGATTTAGAATGACAAGTGGAACAAGTGAAATAATACCGGGGACAGTTCAAAGTGAGAATAGTAATAATAACAATTGACTTAATAAGGAAGAGTATACAAATTGAATAGACAAGATGAAAAAATTGGTAGAGCTGAAATATGATTGGGGCTAACCATACTTAAGCATAGAGGGATTGAGACCGTGAAAGTTGGAGGGGTTGAACGAACTTTTTCTGTACACAGAAATATGGCTTTTCTGTTTCGATAGCCAAAGATGGCTTCAGCAATCCGACAGATGAGTCGGGTACGTAGTGATTTCGGTAAATTACTTTTTTGCCTTGTAGATGACTTTAAAGGCGTGGAGGCTATAGAGGTAGGATGGAGATCATTATCGACCAGGTGTTCAATGATCACGCTTCTTATCGCTCCACTTCCACCTTGCAGAGGGATAGTGTTCTTGCACCCTATTGGACAAAACTCGAGTCGAACGACCGGTATACCTAGCTCCACATGAGCGAGCAGGTGAATTGATAAACACACACATTCGTTGAAAAGAGTCTCTTCACTGAATCACTTGTTTTTTTTTGATTTTCTATATGTTACAATGGGAATTATCCATGAGTTAAAAAATAGCAAGGAACATTTATTCTTGATGATATTTTCAAGTTGCCTGAGTGAAACTTATCAAGTTGGGTGAGGTTGGGGTGGATTTAGATCACAGAGTGCTAACTTCAGTCCCCCTCCTCCTCCTCACCCCTTGGGATTTTCAATCGTTCTCTTACTCTCTGCTGTATCCGTTCATGATCGAATCACCTTCTTCTTCTTCTTTGTTCTGTTTTGTTTTGTTTTGAAAATACAGAACCAATGCTTTGGCAGACACCAATCTCTCTAGACTTCTTGGCAATGAGTCGGCTGCATCCTGTACCACAACAACAGCAACAATACTGCCGACAAAGTCGCTAACACCTACTAATCATCATGTTGTTATCGATAGTGTTTGCCATAACAGCGATGACATCATGACACCACCGCACAATCCTATTAACAACAAGAAGAATAATGATAATAGTAGTAGCCGAAATCTAGTCAATGAAGCCAAAACTAATCCTGTTCATCATCTTCCTAAGCCTGATAATAATGACGATGTCTCCTTAAATCAAGGTCATAAAAACAGTGGTAGTATTGATTTAAAATCAATCAATATTCAGCTATCGTCAATTCTACCGCATCCAGTGTACAGTACACCAGTAATTCTTTATCCTGTTCATTGTCATCGTGATGCTGATGATAATGATGATGACGGCAATGTTGGCGACGCTGATAACTTCCACATAGACAAGAATAATAGTATACAATTAGCACTGCATTATGCACAGAATCGACCACATCCTGAGGTGATGGTATTTGTCGCTGTTATCTCTAGTCAAAATTCTCTACCAATTACTGAAATCAATGTAAGATTTGCTGTGGAAAAAGTAAGCGGTTTTTTTTTTATTTATTCGTATTTATCATTTTATTTTATTAACCTTTTTTTCAGGCTCCATATTAGTTTGTTTATTAGAGATGTATCACACAAAGTGAGGGAAACACAGTATTATTTATTGGATGACGAGGTTTCGTAAAAGATAAGATAAGATGAGCTTTATTCCAAATCAGTACTTGTGATACAGAATGGAATTCTCAGTATTTCACTACATACAGTATTGCATCCAGTTAGTACATTAACAATAAATAAATTTCTACATAGATTAAAGGTAATCTCAGTTAGTTTTGACAACAACATATTGGCGTGCCGGTAGCAAAGCCAAAATTGAACAGAGTGTTTGAAGGTGTTAGAAAAGTAGATGGTAGCACATTTACTGGCGTAAAAAAAAGAGAAAAGTAGAAGAAAGAAAGAAAGAAACAAAACGTTGTACGTATAAATGATATGAGTTAGAAAGACGAGATCCAGTCAGGTGTTCTACTGACTATTTAAATAAGTTAAAGGTTTCACGCCTAATGCTTTCTTTATCCCATAGAACATGAGTGAGCTAAGTAGGGTATGGTTGAGTTTTTGTACCTGCTAGTGCGAGCATATAGTTTCCTATATAAACAGGCTTCTGGTTTTGCCTGAAGAGATACAAGGTAGGGGAGAGTTGTGAATGAAGAGGGTGGTGTGAGTCAGATAAAATGGATTTAGCCCATTTTTCACACGAGTCCAAGTGCCTGTCGACCAGAATGTTAACAAGCTGGTTAAGTGGCACGTTGCTTACCCTGCTGACAACCTTTAACATCCTGCGTAACAAGGTATAGTCTTTCTTCAGTAGCCCTGGAAAAACTAAGGGGGAACAATAGAGAATAATAGGCAGAATACGGGAGTTAACGAATTGTAGGAGTAAGGGTTGGGTTATACCAGAATGTCTTAACTTCTTGATGTAGAAGGTAAGACGGAATATTTTCTTAGAAATCGTCAAGATATGAGACGACCAGGAAAGATCAGAAGATAGAATGACGCCTAGGTATTTAATTTCCGACTTGGTTTCTATTTCAGTGCCATCTATGTTGCACACCTCGTGAGTGCTAACCAGTTTGTTTAGGTCAGATTTGTGCCTAAAGGTGAAATTAACTGTTTGGCATTTGGAGGGGTTTAAGGTGAGACCGTTTTCCTTGGACCATTGGCTGATTTCTGATAAGAAGCCATTTAGTTTAGAGCAGTCACTTTGACATTTGACAGGTAAAGATACAGTTAGGTCATCAGCATATTTGACAAAGTTAATGTCATTTGAAGATGGTAGGTCATGTAGAAAGAAAGAAAAGAGAAGTGGGGAGAGTACAGCACCTTGGGGGACACCAGCTTCAGTGAGCACAGCAGAGGAGGATTTACCTTTGTATACGGTGTACTGCATTCTGTTTGAAAAGTAGGAATGCAACCAGTTAGTGACCCAGGACTCGGTTTGTGTCATGGAGAGCTTATTTAGCAAGAGACATCTAGGTACAGAGTCGAAAGCAGAAGTGAAGTCAAGAAACGTGCAGCGGACATATTTGGCACCTTTGTCTAATGATGAGACGATACTGTTGTGTAAGACGGCTGCAGCGTCTAAAGTACTCCTACCCTGTCTGTAGGCAAATTGTTTGGGGTCTTCGAAGCTTTTAAGGGAGGGTTCGAGTTTAAGAAGTACTAGTTTTTCCATGAGCTTTAGAAACGGGGAAGTGATGGCAATGGGTCTGAACTTTACGTTCTTGCTATTTCCAGGTTTAGGGACAGGGACTATTTTAATGTCTTTCCATGGAACAGGTACAACGTTTTCGGAGAAAGAAGCATTTAGGATATTAGTTAGAGGAGAACATAAAGCATCTGCACATTGTTTTAGAACATATGCAGGTATGCCATCAGGGCCAAGACTATGTGAGGGCTTAAGAGTTTTAAGACATTTCAAAACATCGAGAGTGTTAAAGTCCTGGAAGTTATCAGCTACAAGATTAGTAACGTTAGAAGTGGTTATAGTAGAAGGAGAGCGTATAAAAGACAGATTAAGAGCATTAACATCACAAGAGGGAAAAACATTACATCGCTTACTTTTGCCAGTAATTTCATTGAAAAGTTTCCACATGCTGTTAGGAGATTTGCATGATAAAAGTGTTTGGTTATAGATAGCATTAAGATTTTTGATTTCAGATTTGATTTGAGCATTAATCTTTTTAAGTCCTAACTTGTCTTTGCATTTATATAACATTTCTTTTTGCCTGCGAAGTTGTTTGAGACGAGAAGCGGTCGAGGCGTTTGAACAGTGTTTGTTTGGGACAGCATATGTCGAGGCAGAACTTAAGATAATCCATTATATTGGTGATTGAGTCATCTAATGTACTTTCATAGAATAGATCCCAGTTAGTATCTTTTAACATGCATCTTAGATTGAGTAGGTTGTCAGATGTGTAGCATCTTTGTTGTGCTTTCGTAGACAGGTGTGAGAAGATTTTAATATGTGTTTTGCTGTATATTTTTGGCAAAACGCGGACAATGCAGTGATCGGAGTTTAGTATCGGTGAACGTCTACGTGTTTCATATACTCCTTCGTCATTAGTAAAAACTAGATCGAGTGTTTTGTCAAGTCGAGTGGGAAATTTGACTATGTTTGTGTGACCAAGAGCTTCAAGAAAGGAGCAATCTGATGTGTTGAAGTCTCCAGTAATAACGGATAGAGAGTTGTCGAAGTTGGCAGCAGCAAACATGGTGAATTCATCAGCAAAATTAGATAGATCAGATGGAGAGCAACTAGGAGAAATGTACATGTTTGTAATATAGATTTGTTTATATTTGGGGAGATGTTTGGGGCGACATTTGACAGTAATACAGTCAATGAAGTCATTTGAGAAGGTGAAGCAGACGTTATTTGAGACAGACCATTTGGAGTGAATAAAAGTTGCAACGCCACCACCATTTTTCTTATTACAACATTGACGGTCTTGACGAAATAAAATAAAGTCCTTTAGTGAGATAAGGTTGTCATCATACAGTTCATGCAACCACGTTTCTTGTAATGTGATTATGGCAGTGTTATGATAAGTATCAGTGGACATCAAGGATTGTAGGTACATTATCTTGTTTGGCAGAGAGCGACAGTTTGTGTTCATTATGACGGGGACCGTAGTTAAGTGTATTGGTGTACGTTTGAGAGCTCTCTGCCAACCACTACGATGTTTCCTGCTTGGTTTCTTTGGAATATGAAAGTCATTTGGTCGTAAATGATTGATAAAGTTACGAGAGTAAATGATTCTGTTAGAATTCATGTTTAGGTGATATATAAATGTTGGTAAACAGAAGACTGGATGCAAAATGTAGATATTATAGTAGCTGGCCCAAAAATTCGAACAGGCCGCCAAGGTCAAGGTCAAAATTTATTCTTCATAATCATACCAATCAATTATAATCACACGACTTCGAAACTTGAGTTTTATGGTTTTCTTTGTCTTCTGTTATTTGTCGTAGAGGTAGTAGGATTTTCCAGATGTCCGGCTGGACAGGTGTTGAATCATTCCTATTACGTGTATTTGCAGTTGATTCGACAAAAAATAAAGCTTCTGTTATCAATCTCTTCCTCCATTCACCCTGTTACATTAGATTTTAAAACTGTCTCTCATCTTATACCATCAAGCCTATTGTATGGTTGTGTGTAATTGCATGTAGTGAGCGGTATAACTGAGCTCTTCTCTAGATTTCTTATCTTATTCGAGTCAACTAATCTAGATTCTACTAGTTTGACCTATGTATTTGACCTGACAATCCTTGCAGACAGGGTATTAGACAAACTAATTTGTTTTGTTTTAAAGGCTCCATAGCAGGATCCTTTAACCGACAAAGCTTGTTTCTAATTGAGTTTGTGGGTTTGAATGCCACTTTTACTCCTGCCTTGTTAAGAATTCTGCGTAAGGCTTCCGAGGTTCCTTCCTTGTATGGAATTACTGCTGGTGATTTAGATTCCTTATTGTTGGTGTCGTCATTATTATTATTATTATCATCAGCATCACTATCGCTACTATCATTATTTATTTTTACATTTACTCACGTATTTCCCGACTAATTTATCAGGGTAGTTATTCAGTTTCAGAGCTACTCTTGTATGTGTCACTTCCTGTCTTAGATTTTCCTTGGTACTACTTAGTTTTTGTGCTCTGTCACTGTAGATGTACAGTCGCATTTATGTTCACTTTATTTACTAGTGGTATTTTATTTCCATAGAGTGAGGTGTTCAGCTCATGTTCAACTTTCTCTCTTTACCAGTCTCTTTATACTGGTTAAACATTGACGCTTAAGAGTGGCTATCGACCAATGGACATGTGTACTGGTCAACAGCAGTCCGCTCCATCCTTCTTTATGGCTATGTTACCTGGCCATTGAAAGTGCAAGACATGTAAAGGCCAGGTGCCAGCGTTCTATCTCACATGTGAAGTGGTATAATAAGGTGAGCACTATTGAGGTTGGTCTTTAGTCGAGTGCTAGGGAAGGAGGGAAAATCAATAGACGAGGCTGTGAAGCTACATCGATTGAGATGATTAGGCTATGTGTTACATATGCCTAGACATCGCCTTCCTTGACAATGGGCAATGTTAGCTGACATAGGGTCGGGTTGAAAAGAGCTAGTTAGCGGTGGTGAAACCAAAACTTGGCTCCATCAGTCAATGAAATCCACAACAGTTAGGTTAAACCAGCCAGCCATGTGGGGCGATGTAGACTGTCTGACTGGTTGGGGTCGTCGGGACGGTGAAAACCAATGAAATCTGGAGACAATCGGCGATATGGCTCAAAATCGTTATCAATGGCTGGCGCAGATGCATCCACTCCCTGTGAATTATGATATCCAATGAAATTCTATTATTCCTCCATATTACTATTTCTTTTGCCTCACATCTCCCTTTACCGTCTCTATTTTGCTTTTCTTTTTTACTTTCTTCTTTGGCTTTGTGTGCTGAGTGAAGTGTGGCGACTCGAACTGGTGCA